GGGGGGGGAACTAGCCGTGGTGCTGAAGGGCCCCTCCTGTAGCTGGGGGGTACAGGGGGCACCCTGACACCCCCCACAAAGCTCTGGGTGTTTCCCCTCTGCCCCCCAGCCTGCACTGGTGCATAAATTCAGCCCAAGGGCACAACCCTGGCATTGTCCTGGAGAGGTCTGGTGGGAGCAGAAGCACCTGCGTGGGTCCTTCGATTTGTGCAAATACTCTCAATAGAGTCAAGAAGCAGTTGGCAACCTCCCTGGGGACTCCCGAGGGGTTGGAGCAATTAACAACTGGGCTGTTGCACACTTTGATAGTCATCAGTACAAGACATATGCAAATAAAATGTGCATACAAGTCTATCGTGTTACATAGGCAATGGAGTGCTGAAACAGACCTTATCTGCAGACCAGAACCTTGATCAACTTCTCCACTTGTCCATTGTTCTGAAAATGGTTTTAATTAAGAGCCAACACTCCTCAGATACATCGTGTCTCTCTCCTGCTGTTTTCAGACAACTCTACAAAAATGACAAGTAGGTGAAATATGGATGAAGACTGTAAGAAACAAGTGACATGGAAAAAAGTTCCCCAAGCCTGAAGTGAGAGAGAAGCAGAACCTGAGATGGTATCAGAGATCCTGGAACTCAGGCAGGCGCTGAAGAACAGAAATAACTGAAAAGCAGGCTCTGGGGTACAAAGCAGCCTGCCCCAGTTTTGGTGGGGCAGAAACCTGTGCAGAGGACAGCTCTTTCAACACATAGTTTAAGCAGATACAAAAGGAACGGCGACGTAGCTGAGCCACTGCGGCACTAATAAAATGTCATTGTGAAGTGGTGCAAACAGCAACATGTGCAGGTTTGCAATTCCTTTGTGAAAACAGGGTGGAAATGAGGCCAAGCTCCTTTGTCCAAGGCGCTAAATCCAGCTAGTTGGGCTGGAAGAAAAATCCAGAATACGTGAGTAGTTGCTAAGCCCTTCATTCCTTGCAAGCCTGACTGCTACAGCATTCCCATTCTTTTGGGCTGTGTATTGTTGGAGCAAAGGCACTGAGGAACAGGACTATGTCATTCTGCTCACAGGGCCTCTTTCCCTCTTTCTTGGATGACTATCTAGGCCACTCTACTGCTAAAGAGATTTTAAAAAACGGAGGTGGTAGGTGCCAGTTAGTATTTATGTTATTGCAGCCCCAGGGGTACACTGTAACACCAAAGATCACCTTCCTTCAGGCTCCCTGGAAGCACCCATTGCCCCATTCTTCCACTTGGAAGATGGCTTAACTTGGAATGGAAAACCCACCCTTCCTAAGGCTCACCATTGACCCAGAACTCAGAAGCTCCAAACTGTATCACAGAAAGGCAGCAATAATTGTTTTCTTGCAGTAAATCAGGGTTGACTTAAACTGTGTGACTTGCTGCAACTATTAGATTTCTAGGAGGGATTTCTGAGCTTCACTGAAAAAAACAGTGATCTGCATCCACTCTGTACAGGGCCCAAAGGCTGCAGGGATTCCTCTAGCGAAAAGGATAGTCAAACACTGGAAACACCAAACCTCCCCCCCACAGGCTGAACTGAAAGATCAGACCAAGCAGCTCCTACCAGGGGGTGATGGTTCAAAATTCCTGTGGCATCCAGAAGATAAAGTGATCCCCCCAGGCAGCAGTCAGGCCACAAGCATCTGCAAGTGGATGTACCTCTACTTAGATACAGGGCTGGTACAGGTGGCTCTGAGGTCCTAAGGTCTGGTGTCTTCAACCACCCCATGCAGGACCCTGTTAGCTGCAGGAGTGCTTCCTGATTCTCCATACACCCTTGTCCTCAGCCAAAGCCCACAAATGCTGTCCTGCTGGGACAGGCAAGATGGAAAACAGATTATTTTCTCTGTCCTTTGGCTGCTCTTCAAGGAACCTTCTTGTAAAAAGCCCTCTATAATTATATGATTATTCATTAAACAGAGACCGTGGTGCTCATTTGGAGTAGGCTGTAGGCTGGTAATAAGTCTGGCTATGACCTAATGGAACAGACATATTGTTACAGAATCACAGAACCATCCAGGTTGGAAGAGTCCTTGAAGCTCCTCCAGTCCAACCAAGAACCTCACCCTGACCGTTCCCAACTCCACCAGATCCCTCAACTCTGGCTCAGCGGACTCCCCCCCTGCCCTGGGCAGCCCATTCCAACGCCCAACAGCCCCTTCTGCAAAGAAATCCTTCCTAAAAGCCAGCCTGACCCTGCCCTGGCACAGATTGAGGCCATTCCCTCTTGGCCTGGCGTTGGCTCCTTGGCTCAAGAGACTCATCCCCCCTCTCTGCCCCCTCCTGGCAGGGAGTTGCAGAGGGCCAGGAGGTCTCCCCTCAGCCTCCTCTTCTCCAGACTAAACCCCCCCAGTTCCCTCAGCCGCTCCCCAGCAGACCTGTGCTCCAGACCCTGCACCAGCTCCGTTGCCCTTCTCTGGACACGCTTGAGTCATTCAATGGCCTTTTTGGGGTGAGGGGCCCAAAACTGAACACAGTAATTGTTGTTGCTACCCAGGCTTTGTTTCACAAGTCAGTAATGACTCCAGCTCAGTGACTCTAAGATCTCAAACAAGACTTCATGTGCAGTTCAGGGAAATAAACATCACCTGCAGACACATCTGTCTTTCCTCTCTCATTCATATCAGTGCTTCCTTCTTAAAGTCAGAAGTAGTCAAACAGATCTGAACCAGAGAGGAAAGTGGAAATACAACTGTCAACAGAGCCAGAAAAGAGCAGATCTCAGCCTTCACAACTGACAGGAAAATGGCTTTTCAGAGTTAAAAAGAAGTACTGCAGAATCCGTCAGCACCTTCCACAGCCTCATACGAATCAACAGTTAATAAAAGACAAAGAACAGATGCTCTGAGACATATTCTTCTGATGATTTTTAATTACTTCTACCTACAAATGTTGAAAAAGTGGTAATATGAAACTTGTACTATTAATCATCAGATTGCTTTGTATCAGATTGCTAATGACTCATCACTAGGATTTTATAAACATTTCAATTCTGTTAACCCTGATCAAACAACAGAGCTTTGACACAGCAAACTGATACTAGTCTGAGAGGAAAAAAACAGTATTAAAACTACAAATAATAATAATTGTCTCCTGAGTTTTGGACTTTTTTTCTATGACAACAGCACAAGAACCAGCAAGGGTTTAGTCTGACTCAAGCTGAATGGTTGGTTACAGGAATTCTTTCTTACTCCCTTGGCATAGAACTGACATTTGCAGATCCTGGAGAAGGAAAGACACCCATACTCACTTCTGGGCTGCTGCCTTTGATACAGGCGGGTGCAGAAGCTGTGGTCTAACACTGATGCTTTTCTTCTTCCCTCAGCACAGGCCCTGCTGATCAGGAGAAGCAGCAACATGGACTCATCTCAGCGTAGCAGTCTATAAACCCAGGTGAGATATCTTTGCCTATTGTGCAATTGTTTTGCAAGAAAAGAAAGCTGGTTTCACTGCATCCAGTTGTTCAGCTTTGTCCTCATCAAACTCCCCTTGCAGGTCCAGCAGGCCAAAATCCACCCACACAGGTGGTTTAGTTGCTTTCTGGGAAGTTATCCTTCAAGATGGACTGACCTCATTATCTTTAGTATGGTCTCTACATGCTAATGATACTCCTCTATTCGCTGATGGTCCTTCTTGTGCTATAGAGGATGGTATCAGCCAGGTTTAAAATCTGATTCCCCTAGAAAGCAAGAAACTTTCCAACATCAGTGTCTCCTGCCAGAAAAAGCTTATTATTAGGGGGTGACATATAAACCCAGCACAAATGTAGAGGCAGTTTGTAAGTCAACCCCAGCACACAAGATTGACAAGCTGCTCACAATGTGTGTGAGCCCCAGGTCCCTACACACCCCAGGCTGAGCTGTGCTTTGCCCCCAGGCAGAGACCACCAAGCCGCAAACGCTGCAGCTTGTAAAGACAAACTGTGACACACGTGTAAAAAGGGAGCGATTCCAGCTCTCAGTCCCATGCCAAACGGGGAGGGATTTCAAGCAGCAGTGTGTTAGAGGCAGGACAGGCAGGGCAGCCACTGCCCTCTAGTGTGCACCCACAGCAGTGCACGCTGCACAGCATCGGCTGGAGGCACCATAAAAAAAAGATTAAAAAATAATTCTCTTACACAGTCCAGCTGTGCTTCACCTGGTAGTTGTGCCACAGGACACCACCACCCAACCCCACAGCATCTGGAGGAGCCGAAGAGAGCAAGCTCCTCCAAGCAGGAACCCCAGAGCAGAGCCGAGGTGTCCTGGCTCTGGAGCAGCAGGAAGCCGGAATCCTGCAGCTGCAGCCAGCTCCTGCCCCAGGCTGTGTGGGGGTTTCCCTGTACAACAGGAGTCTGGGTAATTTCTGGCCCTGGGGTGAAACCATTCTCATCTCAAGGCAGGCCCAGGAGAGCACGGACCAGCAGCCACCTCCACTCTCCACTGCCCAATTATCCCTCCTCACCCGAAGCAGCCAATGACCAGTTTGTGCTCTGGGATTCTATTTCTTTGTGGACCCAAAACCCTTGAAAAAAATCACCAGCATGTATCTCAGTATGTGAGTACAGGCTGAAACACAAGAGGTTTTTCTACCAAGGAGTAAATCACACAGCCTGGATTAAAAGACGTTTGTGCTGCAGGAGAGTGCCAAGTCAGCACGTGGAGTAAGGAAACCTTTAGTGGCAGAGAGAATCCCCAACACAAACCTAAAATAACCTTCGAGTCTGAGCAGAGCATGGGCTTGAGTAGGTTCATTACAAAAGGTTTGCCAGCAGCGTGGGATGTTATTTTGTGTAAGTTACCATGACAATTTAAACCCAAACCTTTGCAAAAAAAGACCCGATTGTTACACCCAGTTCCTGTTTCCAACCACAGATGCCAGAAGTGCCGAGACACTGCCAAAGGCAATACTGACCCCAGGAGCTGCAGTGGAGATGAGGTGCACAAAGGCCTGTGGACTCGAGGACAGTGCCCTTGTCGCACATACAAACTTAACTCACCTTCCCAGTTCTCCCACAAGATACAAACAAGCCCTTGCATAAAACGAGAAATAAAGCACCAAGGTGATGAAGACACGCCACACTAACTTTCCTCATGCAGTGCTTGAGAACTCAGGAGGAAGTAAACCATGCAAAGAGGGAGTCAGCTTTGGGTGGGGAGGGATTTCTACCTCTACTTAACTAGCATCCATTTATTTATCTTTTTTTTTTTTTTGACACAACTTGAGGAAATAGAAGTCTCATCATTATGACTTGGCACTGGGAGTGCTCAAGTCCCAGGAAAAAAGGGGTTTGAGGAAAAAAAGCCTCATATCCAGAAACATGATGGACAAGGAAGTGACACAGCATGGATGGGTAAATTCCAAGGATTAATTGTGCCTGACAAACCCAATAACCTCTATGAAGAAGTGCCTGGCTTGGTGGATAGAGGCATGTGGTGGATAGATTACCTTGGCTTTAAACAGGTTTTGGCATAACTGTCTGAAGAATCCATATAGCCAAATCGTTTTGCTACAGTTCAGATAGCTGCAGGGAAAACTGCCGGGGCACCAGGCTCAGAGGGTTGTAATCAACAGCACAAAGTGCAACTGGCAGCCTGTTACCTGTGGCATTCCTCAGGGGTCACTAAAGGGGTTAACATTTAATGCCTCTATTTATAACCTGAAGACAAAACACACCCTCCACAAATGTCTGCAAATCACACCATGGTGTGGGCAGGGCTGCTGCTCACAGGGACGCCCTCAACAGGCTGGAGAAATGGCCTGACCGAAACCGTGTAAAACTCGACACAGGTGAATACAAAGTCCTGCTCTTGAGCAACCTCTCCCTGGCTGGACCACAGACCCTCCAAGGTGCCTTCTTACCTGAATTATTCTGCAATTCAGAATGACTCATGTAGGCAGCTTGCTGCTTACAGGGGACTGGAAAGACTCTTTTCAGGCATATTGTACCTACTGAGAGGAGTGTAAAGTCTGTTGTAAGCTCACACAACTCATTCTTCTTCCTCGCCCATCTTCCTTCATGCTCTACCTGAAGCTACACTGAGGCAGCAACAAAAGCAGAACAGGAATTAACTGTAACAGTGCAGAAAGTGACACAAATGAGCCATGAAGAACAGGCTGTTTTTTCAAAGATAGAATTTCACTCCACCTACACTCAAACCCTATTGTCATTGAGGAATACGCTAATCTTGGGTTTTTTGACTGGCTCCAGGACTCATTTCAAGGTACTTCTTTGGAGAAAAGTGGGGAGAAAAGGGGAGAGAATGATTCAATTTCTGGCTGTGAAGATGGCGACTGCTTCTTGGTCTAGCGACAGCGGCGGACATCTCTGACTAATGCAGCACATCTTATCACGTACCAAAATAGCCAGAACCTCAAACAGGAAATTGTATCAGTGAAGCTTATCTCCTCTGACATTTCCTCTGCTGAGCATCTTCTCCAGAGACCCAGAGGAGCAAACTAACGGCCGAAGAAAGCTATGGTTAGCCTTCAGGAGCAAAACACTCACTGATCAGTTCTTAAAGTAGAGTTTAAAAATACAATATGCCAAACTTAAAAATATGTGCTTTTTTTTTTGAAAAAAAAATGTACAGTCAGATTTTAAGTGAATCTACAAGACAACACTCAGCCATCTAAGAAAAGTAAACCTTTGCAATGCACTGCATACAGAGTTTTCTAACCAGCAAGAGCCAGTGCATTAGATAAACTGCAGTGATTCCTGAAAGAGCTTCAGTGGCTTTTTTTTGTTTCTACCCTGTAGGTAGAGACACTTGAAAGGCAGCACAGTGCCTTCACACTGCAGAGCACTAGGTTAGTTCTTCTGCTGTGTCACTCTTGCACTACATAGCTCAGCGTGAGGCTGGTGTGGGCACAGTGGGCAAGGGCAGTTCCATGGAGGGAGTCTCAGTCACTTCAGCTGGACTTGGTTTGCGAAGCTCCAGTTTCTCAGTGAGTTGGTTATAAAGCTCCTTCACAGCTTCCCCACTCTGCAGAATGAGAATCAGGGAGGGGAAAACCAGAAGAGTCATACATACTTCATTCTAGCTGGTACTAGCTAGAACACTAAGTATGCAATTACCCTTTGTGTTTTAACACAAGCCAACACAGAAAAAGGAAGTTACAAGGTAATTAAGACACAACTTCGTCCACTTGGAGAGCAAAGCTCATGTTCCATTAAGCAACGTCTGGAAAAGCAGCTGCTTTCATTTGCAATTAATTTTCCCTTTCTTATGCTTCCCTTCTTACCTGCCTGGTGGGTTCCAAAGCCTTCTGGAGAGACTCTAATTTGGCAGGCGCCACTTTGTGATGCAGATGAAGCAGCAGTCTTAGCACATGCCTATGTACGTTCTCCTTTCTGCAAAAAGCAATTTTAAAGCAGAGTAACTGATACAAACACCATCTTGAAAACAGGAAAGCTACAGTAACAGTACCAGAATAATTGACAGACTGGCAGCTTTGTTGTAATTTTCCAAAACACCTTAGAATTGTAGCCTGTGTGCTGCAAAGTGCTAACTCTACCTTAGACTTATAAGCAATTCATGTCATTATTCAAAAAGAGTGGATTAACTGTAGCAACCACAAGGAAGGAGGGGGAGATGGCAGCAGCTGGTCTCTGCCGGACAGACCATATGTACACGCAGGAGGATGTCTGTCCCTCCGTATGTGTGGAGGAAGCAGCAGCAGCACACGCTGCTCTGCCTGAACAGCAGTTCTAGTCACTTTTGGGGAAGGCTCCTGGAGGTTAGGTCTGGTCTGCAGGCCACCACTTGAACCACAATGACTTCACACAATTAACAGATACAAACAGATTTTTTGTATGCAGCTGATACTGCAAAGAGCTGAACTCTCCATACTCAGAGCTACTGCAAAGCATGATGATGTTGTCCTTTGCAACTCCAACTTAAGGATAATGAATTACAATTTAGGTAATAATTCATAATCAACACAACAATTTTGCTGATAAAAATTTGATCACAAAATATAAGCCTTTCCTTAAAAGAAAACAGCATCAGGCTAATATTTCCACTATATGTCAAGAGTTTGCTGAACTATTAAGCGATAGTTCAAATCATTATAACCTCTCTCAGATGTCCTCACTTTCCCCCCGAGGAAAATCAGATTTACCTTGAGCAGGCAGTGAGAAAGAAGCCATCAAAAAGACTGGTGCAGAACTCCTCGAGTGCAAATTCATCACCCAGCAGTGTGAGGTTACCAGTAAGCAGATGCAGAAAAATATCACCAAAGGCCAAGTCACTGAATGTCTCAACTATACAATGTAAAAAGGAAAGAGACTGAGACTAACAAGGATGTGCCAAAACTTGACATCACAGCAGATATTCCTGCTGAAAACTTTGCAGTGACATTTCCTTTTAAAACAGGTAGCCAGGGCAGGTGGCTTTGATCTTTCAGACATAAATGATTAGAAGAGGGTTGAGAAGAATATGTAGAAAGCCCATGTCTCCATCGAGGCTGAAGTCACAGAGCAGCTTGCTTCTGCCAAAATCACAAAGTCCCCTACTCTGTTCATGTCCACATCCACCTCCTGGCACTCCTCAGACCCCGTGGTGAGGAGATACAAATCACCAGCAGAAAACTCACCCATGTAAATGAGCTGACAGTTCAGCAAAGGGTTCACAGAACACCAGAGCTGGGGTGAGGGAGTGAGAAGTGAACCCCTGTCATCATTACCAGGAGCCACAATTCCTAAGAGTGCTTCAGATCTCTCATGCAACTTACCCCAGAGTAGTCAGTGAAGAAGGTAATCCCAGGGAAGAATTTCAGTCCTGCTTTGTTACATTTTTTTTCACCACAGAAAGCTAAGTCCCAAGAATTTCTGGCCATCTGCAATTACTATGAGCAGTGGCAGAATTAAGCCACCTGCTCTTCTATTTTTCAGATTCATTCCAAACAGTTCTCAACTAATCTCATTGTTAATACAGCCTTTGATCTAAGTAACTACTGACCTTTAGCCACTATCCCTAAATTCTTGGATCAGCAGAAAAGTATCCTAATTGCAGGTGCAAAACAAGCAAACACTTCTACAGGGCCTTACAACTAAGTCACCAGAAAAGCCAAAGGCAGAAGATCACGTCTGAGTCTGAAATCACTTTCACTCCAAGTTTACTTGCCTCCTGGGTCTCCAGTACAAGGCAAACAGCTATACAATAGAAGATGAGACAAACAACTTACCTAGTGCTGGCAGAAGCCTAAGGAAAGCGTTCTTGTTCCTCTGTTTAGTGATGTGAAGGATGTAATACAGCCCAATCTCACAAGCTATTCTATTCTCCTGCAAGAATCTGTTACGGCAAAAGCAAAGTTTCTTAATCAATAAAGTTAAAACAGATTTTTATTTTTTTTTTAAAAAAGGGTTTAAAATAGCATTGGTTAGCAATCAGTTAGAGCAGTGGCTAACCTCAAACCCACTGAAGAGCAGCTACTCAGTGACTGAGTAGATGACCATCATTATATGCTCACTACCATGGTCCCAAAAAAATTTACCATTCAGCAAACATTGTGCTGTCTCACAATCAAACAGTTGGTTTTGACCGTCAAAGTTTATAATTGTATTAAGGATAAAAGTGCTAGTCAAAATGGGTTTTAGAAGAAGCCAAATAGTCAAAAATTATACAAAGTCCAATACTGTTTTGTTTTAGTTTCCCAATGGTCAAATATCAACACTGGCATAGAGGAGAGTACAAATACCAGGATACAGTACTCCATATTCCAGCATACAGATGAGAATTGTGCTGAAAATTAGTGGAAGACCTGAACACAACACAGCACACAGAGGTTTTATTTAACTTTTTGACATCCCTGGAGGGATAGGTTACCCACAGAGAATGAGTGTCTGTGTGACAAAAATACAAACTTTACTGTTCAGAACCAAGCATGGGCACTCGTCCAGCTGCACCCAAATATCACTCCAACGCTCATCATTCACTGACTGGGAAGCGACACAACAGCATATTTGAAAGCAGTAATACCAAATAGTTTCATATTCAATCTGCCAAAAGAATGATTGTTAAAATAATTTTTAACCTATTTTTTGTAGGTAATTTGAGGAATCATTGTGGGAACCTCTTCTGCTAAAAGAACAGTTCTGGCTTGGTTAACCAGGACTAAATCTAACTCCAAGAAGGTTTTCATTTTAACACATGCAGTGTTTTTTCCTGTCAGTGCTGGCTGGCTCCTTGATGTTTTACTTTGGTAACAAGACTACACGTACAAAGGTGGTAAGGCAGGTTACATACTTGGTGTAAGCTTCAGGAATTGTGCTGGGGTAGGGAATTGGTCCCTTCTCCTCCGAGGGCAGTCTTTGATCGACATTGAACATGTGGTCATCCACCACAAAAGACATCAGCATAGGCAAGAACTTTGTGATCAACTCAGCTTCCTTGGAGGGATGGAAGAACAGAGGGAAAGAACAGTGCTTTCACCCAGCAGTTCACACCATGTAGTGGTCCCAGCGTACCATAACAAACAGTGAGGCAATATTATGAGCCCCATCCGACACTTAGGAAAACAAGCTTTCAGACATTCAGTTCCAGTCAAGGTTCTTGGCTAATTCACTTAGATGTGTTGCACTGGTAATTAGGAAAACTGTAGTTCACCTCTTCTACAGAAATACTCCTGCTTAAATCCTTTCTTTTGACAATTACATAGCATGTCTTCTGAAAGATATTCACAGAATCACAGAATCATCAAGGTTGGAAAAGTCCTTGAAGCTCCTCCAGTCCAACCATGAACCTCACCCTGACCGTTCCCAACTCCATCAGATCCCTCAGCGCTGGCTCAACACGACTCTTCAACCCCTCTAGGGATGGGGACTCCCCCCCTGCCCTGGGCAGCCCATTCCAACACCCAACAGCCCCTTCTGCAAAGAAATCCTTCCTCAGAGCCAGTCTGACCCTGCCCTGGTGCAGCTTGAGGCCATTCCCTCTTGTTCCTTGGCTCAAGAGACTCATCCCCCCTCTCTGCACCCTCCTGGCAGGGAGCTGCAGAGGGCCAGGAGGTCTCCCCTCAGCCTCTTCTTCTCCAGACTAAACCCCCCCAGTTCCCTCAGCCGCTCCCCAGCAGACCTGTGCTCCAGACCCCGCACCAGCTCCGTTGCCCTTCTCTGGACACGCTTGAGTCATTTAACGGCCTTTTTGGAATGAGGGGCCCAAAAAAAAAAAAAATCTTTTCCAATACTGCTGCAAGCACTGCATGTTAAGGATGGTACCTAACTGCTTTTATCAAGAATTACAAATCACTTTGTTCATTCCCCAAACTGAGAGGATCAATGCACAGATAGAATAGCAACAATAAAGAGCATCTCCTTGTACAAGGCAGATCAACCTATGTTGTATCGGATTCACAGAGTGGGAGGTTACAGCTTGTGGCAATCACAGATTTAAAATACAGATTTGGAGATTCCCTTTAGGAAAAACGTCCATAGCTTCTTTCCAAGAGATTCAGAAGAGCACCTCTGCAAGTCAAATCGCTACGTTAAGAGCGAATTTCTCCTTGTTGTGCAACACCATGGTTAGCCTTCCTGCCATCAGCTGAACATATCTGCTCCCAAACTAGGCTAGGGTTGATTGCTACAACAGATATCCGGAACATAAAAACATTCTTCATGTCCATGAAAAGCTGCTACACTGCTATCAGAGTTTCAGACCAGCCTCTGAAATCCTGCTTTCCTCATACAAGACCTGTTTTACAAACTTGTTAGTTTTGTAGAAGTTTCCAGGAACTATGAGCAAGGACTGAAGAATTTAATAGAGGTACAGTTTGATTATAAAACAGTCAGGACCAGGCATTTACGTAAATAAAAAAGCAGGTGAACAAATCTTACATCTTGTCCACCTGAGCTTCTGCTCTGTGACAACTTACATGTTTTCTCTAAGAAAGTTACAATGAAAGGTATGCAGAATGGACACTAAATCAGGGATGCAATAAAATAATGAACAACTCTAAATTTGGTTAATTCCGTTAAATTCTAAACATCAAAATGGCTCACCATTTTTGGTTCCTTGAAGACCTGACTGTCAATCATGTCCCAGGCCCCCTGTCCCAAAGACAGCATCCTAAGGAGCAGCAGCAGATCTGGGCTTTCCTCGAATTTTAAAGGAAGAAGAAAAACAGCTATTTTGATCTTCCACAAGTTGCACAAACAGATTTTTATTTGGAAGAAGTGGTTGTCATTTAAAACTCTCCTGCCTTAGCAGCTTTATCAAAGACTGCTAGAGGCATTTAGTTCTCCAATTTAATTGACAGCTGATTCCTCAAATGGGAATCAAATAACAGACACACCTGGGATTTGTGGGTTTTTTGTAACATTTTATAACATGCGAAGAAGTATGCAGCCGATCTCATCACAACATTGTTTTTAAATATGTTGAGATAAATTAGTCTACTGAAATATAACGTGTGATAGGACAAATCAAGTCATCTCAGCAGAAGTAAGAAAGGAAAAGCATGCATAAGAATGACAATGGTTTTTCATTTATACGGTGTCCAGAAAGCAAAACATTTTTCAGTCTTGAACTGTTGTAAGGAAGTTACTCAATTCAACAATAAAATTTAACAACTCAGGGATAAAACCAGCAAATGCCTCACACTGTTCAGAGATCTGTAAGGCCACCTGCCTTTAACATTTAAGCACCTCCTGCAGGCACTACTTGCAGGAACTGTATTATATCGCAGCCAACAGACCAGAACAGTGTAAACTAATCCATCACATTTACTGTGGCAGGAAAAAAAAGCTGCTGCTTAGGCAAACTGATGGAAAGACAAAGCAGGAAGGCACACATTCTATATATGCATTGCTGTTAGGATAGAATGAACCATGAAAATAATTTGTTGTCAGTTTGGAGAGCTCCAAAATGCTCATCTCCAAGCAGCGCTCCCACAGAGCTCTAAGGTATGTGCTACAAACAGGTATCACATATTTCATATTCCCTTATTTCAGTTTACATACAGATTTGAGAACTTAATTGTACTTCTACAGTGCCAGCCCTTTGTTGATGAATGCTACTCAATTAAGACTATAGTTCAGACAAGGCACACAAGCTGCAACACTCACCCTGGGTAAGGTGTCCTGCCCAACCAGGTCTTGCAGGTGCCTTATAGTACTCAAGGCTAAGGTGTTAATGGCAAAGGGATCGCACAGGATCATAGATAAGTCCCTGAGAAGCAAATATCAAATACATGTCATACATAACAAACAGCCCTACTGTACAGTTCCATATCCGCTGTAAGACACCACTGTGTTTCACCAGTGTAAGACGTTCAGCCTATTCTCTGTTGTAATCCTGTCAACTATCAGAAGTAGCACCAAAGTAGAGTGTGTGAGTGTCTGTACACTGTATTTTTATAAGCAAATGCACACTCCTGTGTTTAAGAACAGAGGTAGACACAGGGCAAGTACTGTAACAATACCCTTACTATGATAATGGAAAACCTAAATTTCTGTCTTTTGTTACCTACAGGTGTCCAACTGATGAACCTTCTCTTGCCATGTAAAAACACCACAAATGTTATTTCTTTGAGTTGAAAGGGCATGTTACTTGAAATAATTACTAAAGGTCTTCTGCGCTGAAGTCAAGCAGGGGAGCTCCCGCAGCCAGCTACCAGGCCACAGGGGAGACTCAAGGGTGGTAACTTAAAGAGTACAGGCTATGTCACCACAACAGGCCTGGCTATGCCCCAGTGCATTAATACTCTAGATGTGAACTCACAAAACAGCTACTGGCTGTTAGCTGGCTCTAGGGCAGAATTAACACCTATAATACCTGTCAGATGTTGTGACTGCCAGGAACCCATTTTCAGTTTCTCGATAAACAGCCCAAGTGCCTTACCCCAACACTTGTTCTTGTCCTTTCTTCACTCCATCCAGAAACCCTTGTAATTCCCGAGCTCTCTTGTTGTCCACAAACTTCTCCCGAATGCAAGCGTCAAGGCACCAGGTGAACTGTTGTAAAAAAGGAGAAAGTTTTATGGAACACAGCAACTCAGTAAATCAGCAATAAAATAGACAATGTCAGAGAAAAGAGGTTCGAATGACCTCCAAATATCTGGAATATGTTTTGTTAATATACTTTGGTATGGGAGCAAGCTGATCACAAATACAGAGGAGGTCAGAAATACGCTGTTCCCAAAAGAGGTCAGAGATAAGTTAACCTGGAGTCACTTTCTCCCCTCCCTAGAAAGGAATTCCCTGGCAACAGAGAGGCATGAACAAAATACACTGCTGCCCAGCACACCTGATCAATGCGGATTTACGCAAGTAGGAGGCTGACAAAGCAGCATCACTTAGCAAGAATAATTTAGCCATTGCAATACCACTCCCACCCTCTAAGTAGAGGATATTAACAGTGGAGGTGCTTCTGCTTCAGAGCTGTATTATCAAAATGGAAAAAGACAGTTAAGTGAAATGTTTCATCTGACCTAAAATTAAGGACTTTTTTCTTCTTTCAGAAAACAATATGTAATTTCCCCCAACATTTCAGCTCTCAGAAAACAACAGCTTGCTGAATTTTTGAAATGCTTTCATCGTGGCTTCCTCTCCTTGCAGCAGTCACTGCATTTTAGAGTGGCAAAATGAGACCACTGAAAATGATCTGCAACTTGAATCAGAATTGCCCTTTTTTATTCAGTCACTGTCTGTATACTGATTTTGGGACTCCTGATCAGAAAATATTGAAAAACATGCAGTAACATCATCACTCTAGGACATATTCTCTATAAGCTGAATACATATAAAACTTAGCAACATTACTTAAGAAAAAAAGCTTTGTTCTAGGATCAGAGTGATGCTGACTACAGATAAAGGACAAGTAGCAAGATCCTGGTATAACGTTAACAACTCATCTGTCACCCCCTAATATTTCAATAGTTTTAACGTATTCTTATAATTCAAGATCCAAAGTACTTAGTGTTACACACAGTTTACTGACAGATACAGTATATCACACCAGGCACAACAGGGAGGGAAGCAAGACTGGATTAAGAAGCTGGGGCTAACTAATGTTTTTGATTATTTTTCGCAGCATCTACATCGGGCAGATAGATGTTGTGTTTAATACTGCACAAGTACCATAAATTTCAATGATTTATGGATTATGAAATGAAAGCAAGCTGCTGCTTAACCAAGATGAAATTTTCACCTGAGGTTCCCAGGAATATAAAATGACTTTTGGGTTTAAGGTCTGAACTCTCTTCACAGAGAGGTGTCATCTCTGGACTAAAGTCCCGCAGGGCAGCAGATATGCACAGGGCTGGGTGCAACAGAAAATCCTTCAGTAATACACCTATCTGTCCCACATGATTAATACCTTATGACAGGGGTCAACATTGCAGATTTCATTGACTTCCAGGTCATGCAGCGACATCAGGAGCTCTGCCCGTAGCGTGCAGTAATGAACATTCCTTGTACGAAGGAACAACGTTCTCAGAAACTGCAACACCATATCATAGAGCTTCACATTCTTACCAATCATTTGTGTCAGCTTCTGAACCACCTAAACCCAAAATGGAAAAAACGTGCACTCAGTACAAGAGATACTGTTATTTCACCTACATAAAACATACGTTAGTTCTTCTACAAGATTTATTAAGATGGAACATCCACATTGACCTGAGTTCCTGAAAGGGATCTATTTTACACAAAGGTTTCCAAAAAGCATTTGTTCAAGAGATGTTCACCAAATCTTTCACAGCCATAACGAAAGAATAACAAATATCAAGAAAAGGCTCTCTTACAAAAGGAAGTTGAAGCATTTGTAAAATAGAGTGCTCAGTTATGTGAAACAAGTAAGAAGCAGTACCCTTTACTGATTAATATCATTTACAATTATTGCAACATGAACAAAACTCACTTTTCTTTAGAAGTCTTTCAGTATTTCTATCTATCTTTAGGCTACGGGCACGAGAATAAAGGTGAAGGCTTCTACTGGTTTTGTATGGGACAGAGTTAAATTTCTTCATAGTACTTTGTCTGGGGCTACATTTCAGATTTATGCTGAAAACAGTGTTGGTAACACAGGGATGTTTTAGTTATTACCGAGCAGTCAGCAGGTACAGAGTCAAGGTCTTTTGGCTCCTCACACCGCCCCACCAGCGAGCACTCCGGGGGTGCAGAAAGAGCTGGGAGGGGACAGAGCTGGGACAGCTGATCCCAGGGACACTCCATACCAGGTGAAATCGTGCTCAGCCATAAAACGGGGATGGAGGGTTGGGGGGGGGTGGTGCTGGTGCTGCTCAGCAACTGGCTGGGCATCAGTTGGGTGGTGGTGAGCAACTGTTTTCATTTGCATTGTTTGTTTTTCTTGGGTTTGATCTTCCTCTCTCTTCACTGTTTGTTTCTTTTTTTTTCTTTTTTTTTTTTCTTTTAAATTTCATTATTAAACTGTCTTTAGTTCAACCCACAAGCTTCTTTCTTGTACCCTTCCAATTCTCCCCGCAGTCCCACCAGGGGAGGCAGTGAGCAAGACTGTGGTGCTCAGTTGCCAGCTGGGGTTAAACCACAAATCTGCAGTGTAAACCTGAAGTAAACTGCACCAGAACACTTATACTAAATGGGCTTTTGAAAGCAAAACAGACCCAAACCAAACACCACACGTAACAGACAGGCTACCCTCTCTCAAATTAAAGCTTTATACTGCCTTATCACTGCAATTTCTTAGCACTCTTGAGAGCAAGGTCCTTACAGAAAATCTGATATTTCACTTTTGAAGCAAAAGCCCCCTGAGGTAAAGTGACACATTATAGCTGAACCACTGTACTGGCTTGCTGATGTCAAGAAGAGGAGGGCCCTACTCTTCCTAACACCTCTGCCACCATTCCCTCCCACATCAAGCCTGCCTGCACCATCCAGCCCACCTCCTTGCAATGGCTTTGGTGCCAGCTGATCTCTTCTTTGAGCAGATCCAACTCACTGTCTTGGAAAACTACTTACTGGTTTTATCTAGTAGAGTTTCTGTAGCGATTACTGAACTGAATCAGCTCATGAAAGAGTCTGAAAATCACCAGAGCTACAGGTAGGGAGGGGAGGAGCAGCACCTGCCCTTCCTGTGTCCGAGTGTTGGATCAGCTCAGCCACCTCATGTAATTTCATTCAAAGAGCAACTTTTCTAAATGCCAAGTTAGCTACAACTTTCAATGTCCCTTTCCATTTTTATGAAAAAAATAAAAATAAAAGCTTCTGTTGGTCTCTGTCCTGCTAAACAAAACCCCACAAAAGTCCCAAGAAAAGAAATTTAAGAAATTCAAATTGATTCGATAGAGATACTCAGCCTTTAAAAGAGCTAAGGGTTATTAAAGCCAGACTGAGCAATAACATAAAAAAATGTGTCCTTCCTATTTTTTTAAAAGTTCATAAACAGCTTAGAACATTAATCAATTATTACACACCACTGAGTAACTGTTAAAATAATTCCTGCTGCTTTCATCAAAATATGTAAGAGAAAACGATCTGGTATTTCTTGCAAATACTTTGTCTAGCCAAACAACTTTAGTAGCAAAGTTGGGTGGGTGAAAATTACACCATTATTTGATGAGGTTGACTGAAAGTTGATAAATTCCATTCACAAGCATGTTGTAAGAGGTTTCTTTGTCCTTACCTCTCCTTGACGTCTTGTTTTGGGAGATGGACTGAAGAAATTGTGCAAAACAGAGATATCATTGCTGAAGAGAATATTTTCTTTCTCCAGGATATATTGCTTCAGCAGTGGAGACACTTCATCGCCAAACAGAGCCTGGTTATCCTGCCAAATCTGACGCTTCACCTCCACTGCACATGCTTTATACAAATCCTTATCGGCCATTACTAACTTCAGCTTCTTTTCAGGGACCTGTGATCAACAGAGCAGTTACCAAGGGGCAGGGCAGTTTACCTGCCTGATTGTCCAAGTAGTAAGATGTCCAAATCGTAATCTCAGACAGTTTGGTAATTTATACAACAATGCAATTAAACAGCAGGCAGTATCACAGGCTCATCTTTTGCCTTCTCTACTCCTGTAACAGTAATCCAACCCTAAAGACACTTAACACTTCCTTTAAACCTATGATGCTACAATTTGGGGTGATGTTTCAAAACTCAATAACTTACAGAAGTTCTAGTAGCAGTTTTGAATCCATTACCTTAAGTACAATATGCTGTTTTTAATAAGGCTGCTCCTAAAGATTCCTGTTTCACTGATCTGAATCTCACTCCTATCTACTTCTAGTTGCATTTTTCAAATACCTATCAGTGAACTGGATTACTTTTAGGAAGCTGCATGTATTGAATAAAATAGGGAAATAGTCTCATCTGATTCTGAATACTTAAAACTGTTTTTGAATTAGTCTACAAAGTTGCTACCGGATACAAGAGCATTGTAAATGTTCAGTCATTTCCTAATGCTGAATGGCAAACTTGCAGAAGGTCTGCAGATGGAGCATGCAGCCCAGCCAAGAGCACAGCTGAGAGAAGCCATACAACGGAGATGTAACGCAACAGGCCAACGGCAGAGCGGTTTTACCTTGGGTAAGTGCTTCATGACACACATTACCACAGGCTGTATGGAAGGCATCTTGACCAGGGAAAAGCTCTTCTCTAGGAGATCTTCCAACTTCTTGTATCTAAAAACATGTAAGAGCAAGAGACTGGGCACCACGTTATAGTGAAGGAGCGAAGTGGCTCATCTCAAAGCCAGTGGAACTCAATCCACCCAGAGCCTAACTCATCTCTGCAAAGTCACTCGTCCACTGTAACCCACTGTCACACAAAATTCCCAGCTCACTCCGAATAACCAGCAAGAGTGCCGACAAACCTCTCCTCAACCTTCCCTTCCAAAGCGATGGCAGAGACCCTCTCCAGCAGCTTCTCCCTCAGCTCGTCGAAAACCGACTGGTGGAACTCCAGCCGGGGGGTGCCGTGCAGGTCCAGGAAGGGCAGGGCTGACTGCAGCGAGGGCAGCAGCACTCCATTCTCCGTCTGCCAACACAAACCCCGGGCAGGGGCCACGTTACCCCGCTCTGCCAGCCAGCCAGCAAACCACAGCGGGGACTGCTAAAGACATACCGGTTGACAAACAAAAAGAGGAAAACCCCCACAAAACAGGCC